GTGTTGAAAGGAGAGCGTGCGTGCAGCATAATGTTTGCAATGTGTCAGGTATGTATGGCTATAAATTCAACATGATTTTTTTTCTTCAAGGTGTGGTCTGGGGCTCTGTGCATTTTGAGCACACTGGTGGTGGCTTTACCGCCTTACAATGCGTTCCTTGGGCGGAAAATAGTGCAACATTTTTGCGATTTGTGCGACAATTTCTGCCTTTAAGTGCTGACAAGTTTTGAGTTTCGCTTGGCGGTTAATAGCAATCCTTCGGTCTTGTCTGTTTACTTTTGCTTTTATTCGTGGTTGCAATGATCCGCAATATCTAAGATACTTTAAGAGGCATAATTCTCGGGTTTAGTAATCTTGCGAGGTCGTTGATGACATTTATGTTGTTATTTGACGTCTCTCTGCGACATTTGATGGCAGGTGTACTCAACTGTTCATTTAATTTGGCTGGCGTGCAACGAACACTTGACAGCAGCGTGCTGCACCGCATGCTACTGAAACACATAGGTAGCATTCCTGCTCAGGAGGGGAGCTGAGGTTATGTTAAGAATATGACGTCATTTTGAGGAGTTGGTGCGGAGACTCTTGTCGTCCTACCGCCGTCTCACATGAGGCGAGTTATGGCGCGACCTGCAGAATATTCTGCCTGCCTCTCCCGTTCCTACGTATTAAGCTTCAAACACATGTTCATTGAAATTAATATTGTGTTCTCCCTGCATTCTTCTATCGCTTGCCTATGCAAAGCTACCGTTTCTCTCTCTGGTTAACATAGTTCACCGACTTTCTTTCGACTCCAAGAATTCGCTCTCCTCTCTCAACACACGCTCAGTTCACTCTTCACATGTCTAACTAGGAGCGGATTCGGAGGGAAGGATACGGGTCATACCCCCTTGGGCCCCGAAGGAGCTCATAGGCTCCGAAAGGGACCATAGTCGGCCGAAAAGACGCAGTTTTTACACAAAGCATAGCAAAACTGCATGTCTTTGAGCTTCCAGGCGACCAAGAAAAGTCGCAAACGAAAGTGAAACGCCCACGAGCAGACAAAAACTGTTCTTCACTAAATGAGAAGATGTTGATTGGGATGTCTCATTATGTTGTCCAGAGGACTTATGCTGTTTTCGGGAGCCTTTTATGTCCACGTACAGGTACAATCTAGTCGTTAAGGAGCCTTCTGCATTGCCTCTGATTTCTTTGCATCTGCTCGGAGGGTCGCGGGCTGTTCCTGGTGCCCTTCCTGTTAGCGTGCCGGGCACTCTTGGCAACCAAAGGCCTTCCACGGATTCTTTTCATTCGTCCGAAAAGCTCTGTGCGCTATAGCTTGGAGGCCATATATCATCCTGCCGGGGCATCTCAGCTCCTCAGAGACCCTTTACGCTGCTCTCTAACCTACCGACCCCATCACAGTGTGCCCATGAACCCTTTTTATTGGTCTAGGGCACTTCCAATTCTCTGTCACTTGCTTAGGGCCTTACGCTTTTGTTGGAAGCCCATTCGTTAACCTGCTTGGATACATCCGGTCGCTTAGGGCCCTCTAAATCGATCTGCTCGGGCACACTGGATTGTTTGGGGCCCTGCATATTGGGTTTTGGGTATTTTAATGTAGTGCCCTACGCTCCTGTCGGGGGCCATCTGATAGCCCGCTTGGGTACATTCGATCTTTAGGAGCCCTCCACGCCAGGTTGTGAGTGCTTAGTATTTAAATGAAGAGTCCTATGCTTGTATTGAGGCCCTATCTGATAACCTGCTCTGGCACACTCGATCACTTAGAGGCCCTTTACACGTTCAGGGTGGTTGTGTGAGAAGATCTGGGAGCGCTTTTGACACCAATGTAAAGTCTCAGCTTGTTTGACCTTACTCGACCCCAATGTCATGGCCTGCGAAGTCCAAATTTGATGCAAATAAATTCACACACAAGTCCACCCTGAACATTTAGTGTCTCTACCTCTCTTAGGTTTGAGATCTCAGGGGGTTCAAATTGACCCCCACCCGAGCAAGTGGTATTCAACTGGCCACCCAGGCGCGCGTTAAAATTCCTTAGTGCCAAATTTAACATTTGTTTAAACTAGGTCGCCGGTTATTGGAAAGGAAGATGGAAAGGAAGGTTGTGGAGCTTTGAAATGAATGAGTCCACCACTGGACTCAATGCACAAGAACCACCAGTAACAAATATTGCAAGATTCCACAAACACAATGCTGCGAGCACGCACCACGGCGCAATGCCGGATGCGCATCGTCGAGAGCTGTGAAAAAGTGTAATAGCACAATCAGCAAAAGCATGACGTGGCAGATGCATGGCGTACATAAACCGTACGTACACGCGTCCATCGCGCTGAAGGAAAGGCGTTTTCAACAGGCCACAGGGTGGTTCGCACAATGGATTTTTACATAGGCGTGTTGAAATCAATGCAAATCACGCGCTTGTCATTCGCCATGTTCAGACTTGATGTGCGGCTGCTGGGTTGAGTGCTATCTGCATGACCCCGCGTGCCAGCGCCAGCCAATCTGGCTATTATCCGCTTAGCAATGAGGGACAACGGGATAGACTAATGCAGTGGTTATCTGGCGTAGGTCGGCCTCCAGCCAACCACGTCAATTGAACGAAGTTGACTGACCTGGTCGACCGACCTGGCTCGACCGACCGACCTAATTGACTGACCTGGTTGCGCTCTATCACGCCCGCATACTCCAAAAATACGGTGGTGACGGCCGCCGCGGCCAGCAAGTACTGCGCCTGACCCACAGCCCGCCGCATGGAGCGGAGTAGTCTCCTGAAGCCAGGTCAGGTGGGAGTTAAAGGACTTCCAAGCAGCGTTGGTGTGACAGAATTGATGTGGGGCGGTTGCCAATGTCATTTATGCCAGGGATGTGCATATCCCGGGACTGATGGAAACCCTATCGCGTCAAGGCATTGGCTGCCATGGATATAAGCTCCGGACGTTCAATGAATATAATGAAATCATGGATCAGGTCCCTATCCAAACGATATGTTGAGTGCTCTCTCTCCCTCTCCCACTCACTCTCTCTCTCTCTCTCTCATCTTCTCTCCTTCGTCCTCTCTCTCTCTCCCTCATCTCTCTCATCTCTCTCTCCTCTCCTCTCGCTCGTCTCTCCCCTCTCTCACGCCTCTCTCTCCTCTCTC